GAAAAACCTGGTTCTTCATCTCCTAGACCAATAGTACTAAACTCAAATAGAAACAGGGCCACTGGGGGCTTCACACTGACTTAGAAAACCAGCCCCCCAGGCTGTGTGTTCAACACCTCAGGTCTAGAACTTGACTTCTTAATCTATTTTGGTTTCATGGATCCCTTTGGCTACCTCAAGAAACCTATTAACTCCAACATAGTGTTTTATATGTTCATAATGAAAAGAAATGCTAAATTTTAGTTAGAGGTTAGTGAAACTACAGATGTATTTTCTTTACCCATCCAAGTTCATAGATTCCACCTATCTGGGTCCCAGGTTGAGAATCCCTGTGGGATCTCAACATTTCTCTAATAGATTTTTAAAAAAATTTAATCGGGATGTTTAGCGTGTATAGACACGTCTGCCAATGTGTGTCCCATTTTTGTTCTTTAGGGTTCAGATCATTAATATTGAGCTTATATCTGCTTAAACCAAAGGATGAAGGGTCATGCTGTGCACATTGTTTAGAGTGAGGGACTTGGCATTTCCTGATTTTAAAGTATGATCAACTCTGTCATTGACAATCAGGGATTTTCAGGCTCTCAGGATGTGCAGAGGCCTTTAAGCAGGATACCTGAGAGTCCCATTGTATCAAGCCTCTGAAACGAAAGACCTTCCTCTTCTTTTCTTTGACACTGAAGTACCACTTGACTTGTTTTTAAGCTTTCTTGCAGACAACAAATCTCACAGGAAACACTGTTGTGACCATTCATATCATTGGTTAATGAAGCATTGTTTTTTTATGTCACTCAGTCATTTCCTAGGAAAACAATGGGAACCCAAAGAATGCTCTTCTCTTAAATTAAGGGAAGCTTCCAATATGCCTTATTAATTTAACATATGCTAGCATTTATGCTTGCTCTACCATAGCAATATAGTTTTGGGGCACATTTTATGCAAAATTTGAAAATGATTTAAAAGTACATAATACGCATAAAGCTTTATATATGCATATTTTATTGCATATATATGTATGTATATATATTATATATAATCTTACATAGATGTATACATACATACATACAAATATATATATATATATATATATATATAAATTGCACCAGAAATAGAATGGTATAGTAAATGGAAGAACGGCTTGGAATCAGGAAGGGCTGGGTTTAAGTCTTGTCTCTAACTTATATTAGTTACACAACCATGGGCAAGTCACCTAACCCGATAGGGCTAAGTTTGTAATGTACAAAGGAGTTGCTGATATACCTCATTGCTGGGAATCCAACATACAGATAAAATCACAGGTGCAAACCAAAGAACCCCTGCCCAAAAAAATGCATATTTCTATGTATACATAAACAGAAATTAATGTATACCTGTGTTTTGGGGATAAATATGATTCTTGTTCTTGGCCCAAATTATGCCATGCTTATTTTTTTAAACAAATTCCAGTGACCCCAGGTTGCCCCAGGATTAAGTGTAAACTCCTTTGTTTAGCTTTTAAAGCCCTTTGCAACTTGGTCCCAACCTATCTTTCTAGCCTTATTGGACATCATTCCCCTCTCCTGGATTCTTCCATCCAGCCAATCTGGCCTTTTCTCTGCTCTTCATATACAACATTCCAGCTACCATCTCCATGCCTTTGCGCTGGCCATGCCTGGAACACACTCCCATCTCATTGATACTGTACTGTAGTCCATTCTTCCTTCAAGACTCAGCTAAAGTGCCACCTTGCACATAGAGCCTTTTCTGACCTCTCCAACTGCTAGTACCCCCTGTCCTTGACTACTATGTATGCGTCTATATTTATTCTCTTTCTCTCTATTCTGGGTATACTTACATATGTACTTGTCCCTCCCTTTTTCTCCATTAGAATATAAACTCATTGACAGCAGGACTCCTTTACCCTTTGTGCATGTATCCCGAGCACCTAGGACAGTGCCTAGTACATAGCAGGTACTTAATGTTTGCTAATTTGTAAGACAGCTGGCTGATAAGAAAACACTACCACCTTACCAAAACCTTCCTAGATATTAAGAAACAAAACAAAACAACACAGAATGAAAAGAACCAGAACCTAGAAACATATGAGATCATTCATAATAAGGACATTTAATTCTAGTCTTCCCTCTCATTTATTTCCTCTTTATCCTGTATATAGCTTGTTTGTACATATTTGTTTTCTTATTGTCTTTCCCATTAGATTGTGAGTTCCTCAGAGGGCAGGGATTGTTTATTGCCTCTTTTTGTATTCCCAGAGCCCTGCATATAGTAGGCTCCTAACAAATGGTCATTTATTAACTGATTAAGACCAGCACATAAATATACTTACAAAACTAATGCTCATTTTCTCTTCAAAGTGAACCTTGTGGACAGAGCAGACTCCCAAGTCTAATCTATGTATTTGACATTGCATTCATAGGCCAACTGGCCCAGTCACCATCTCCTCCCAGATGAAGAGAAATTCAGAGGAAGCTGCTTGATTTAAGGCAAGAAGACCACTCAGAACCGAACGAACCTTCCTTGGGGCACAGCCCCAAGACCCCTGGACAGTCTCCCTTCTTAGGACCTCCTTAAGGTGTATCTTACAGCTACAGATGCTACCCAGCATGGTCCCCATTTGTTACTGACAAATATTAATTGCAAGTCCATTTGGTCTTCTGTTTTCTGCTGAAAGGTGACTGGAAGCCTTTCATAAATATATATATATATATATATAATATTTGAATATATGTATATATATGTATGTGTATGTATAAATACATATACACATACATATACATACATTTACACACACACACACACACATATATACATACACACATGTACACACACACACACACACACACATATATATATATTTATATATATATATGTATATGTACTACTGCAATTTCCAAACTCCTGCTAGGCCACTGTCCCTAAATCATTGAGTTCTTGCCTCATGCTAAGAAGTAGAATTTCATTAACATTCCAACATGCTCAGCACTGCAAAAAATGTATCCTGCCCTTCTGAGCTAGGGCTGTCAATCAGCCCTCAATTGTGTGTTGGTTTAGGGAGAAGAGCAAATTACCAAGGGCTACGTTGACACAGGCAACCCTATTTCAATTCTGTCTTAATCCTGAGCAGTATTCAACACTCTCAAGGTAACAGTAGTTTGTCTTTTCTCACTCCCAGAGTGATTTGGTAGACTTTTATTTAGAGGGCTAGTTGGAATTCAGTGAGCCATAATAGGCCATTTCACTTTAAGTGTATGTTAAGCTAATATTGACTTTTCCACTGTAAAACAAAATCTTTGTTATTTGTACTCAAAAGACTGAGAAAAAAAATCAATAGACATGGAAATTGAGGATTAATCATTCCAGCCTTTTCTTTCTTAGACCTCTGGGGAATTAGTCATCTTTATTTACCTAGCAAAGATGCAAGGTAGGTTCTGTCACTACAAAAAAAAGTCTGGATCGTCCAGCAAATATCTTTTGTATGATTTGCCTATTATGGATCCTGCAGGTCCAGATGTAACTGCTTCAGTTAGCTTTAGATCAAGAAGTCAGTTGAGCACATAGCTGGGGATGGGTCAGAGGTCTAGAACAGGTGGCGGGAGAATGAGCAAATTAGAATCCTAAAGGATGGAAAGAACCATGGGAATAGAAGACCAAAACAGGCTTTGGGAGGTACCAAGGGTGAAACCCTCTACTTTTAACCATTTCTAGGGTGGGGGTGGGAAAGAGGTGGAAGGATACTGTTTCCACAAGGACCTTGGGAGGTAGGTGGTACAAATGTTATTTCTCCCATTTTGGAGAAGAGGGAACTGGGCCCTATGATTTGTCCAGTCTCGCTTAGCCACTAGGTATCCCATCCGGAATATCAACAGAGGCTTTCCAAATCCAATCTAGTGTTCTTTCCACTGTGCCATATTTGCGTGGGTGAACCACGAAACCAAGGGTATCAAAACAAATAATAATTGTCATTTTTATGAGATGATAAGTTGCAGAGAGTTGCTGCCCTACATTGGAATAGGGAGTGTCCTCCTCCGGGAGCTCCTTATACTGGTGAAATCACAGGTCCAGTCTCTATCCTTACCCATTTATTCAGCACAATGGATAGAGGGATGAAATTGGAGTTAAGAAGACCTGGGTTCAAATCCTGCCTCAGACACTATCTCTGACCATGGACAAGTCACAATCTCTCTGTATGTTGGTTTCTTAGTCTGTAAAGTGAGGGGCTTAGAATTAATGACTTCTGAGGTCCCTTCCAGCTCCACATCTAGGATCTTATATCCCTTTAAAATTTACAAAGCACTTTACATAGGCATTTGAGCTTCCTAAGAGCCCTGGGAGGTAGGTTCTACAGGTATTATTATCCCCATTTTATAGCTGAGGAAACTGAGTGGGTAAAGGTCTTAAGTGCTATGGTCATACAACCAGTAATTTCTGGAGGTGGAAATCAAACCTAGGTTTATTTGACTCTGAGTTTCATACTGTATACACAATGCTAAATTATTTCTTGGTTAATTAATCTATTTTTGTGTGCTATTTAGGTCAGTGTGGAAAAACAAAATTTCTAATGTACCCCAAATTCTTTACACTTGGGAAACACTCCCAAGCAAACATAGGCAATGTAGGCCAAAAAATGAATTCCAAATCTCTTGAAAAACAGAAATATCTGCAGAAACAGCTTCCTTGTGGTGGAAACATTCCAGATCTACTGTAACCAATATAGCTCATTTGGATCCAAATCCTCTGAAAAGTGATTTCTTTTCAGTGGAGTAGCTAAATGTTAGTTGAATTGAACTCGGTTGAATTGAATTGAATAAATGAATTCACACGGTGTTTATTTTGTCTTCTCTTCACTCTGACTGTTAATACCAGAATAATTTGATTGTGTTTGTATATTTTGCATTTTTCTTTTCATTTAAAGACATAGAGCACAATGTTGATAGAGGCAGTATACTTTTCTAAGGTTCATGATCATCTTGGTAAATGTTTATCTGTCCTGGTCTCTTTACCTGAATCCACTCTCTATAGGAATCTTCTCCAGGAGTCCATCCATTCTCTGGGTAATTCAAGCGAGATCTTTCTGAAGACCAATTGGTGCTATACTGGGAAGAAACTGTGATTTGGTCTGAATGAATTTCTCCTGATTCCATGCCCAGTGGTTCCATACATGTGAAATCTGAATGGGGAAAAAATGGGTAGAACCTGTTAACATTTTCTATGGAGTCCATAAGTGATACTGAATGTGGTTGTTATCTTTTTTTTTTTAATGACTAAACTAAAATGTTAATTCTAATGCGTACTTAAAGTCCATAGAAACTTGAATTGACACAATAAGAGTAGTAAAAGAAGTAGAGCTTAGATTAGCATTATCGTTTGGGTTTCCATGACGATCCTTTTAAAACCAATGATAGGAAAAAATATTTTTGAACCAGTGATGAAACCTGCTATATATGGAACTTAAATTTACAGAAATGTTCTTTCATTTTTAGTAGCAAGTGAGGAATGCTTTGATCTATTTTACTAGCTGAATTTCTATATAAGTTCAATAGATAGGTACATTAAAAAGGTAAAGGCAATCTAATTTTCATAAATGCTATCTTGTTTTTCCACAGACACGCATGAAAATATGTGAAATGCTTCATATTTGCAGGTTTTCAATGGATCATTTCCTAACATTTTGCTTATAAATTTGGACAACAGTGAGGGAGACTGTGCAAAGAAACTAAAAGATTAACACTTCAACACTCCAAGAGACTTTCTATTGAAGGAACTTTGGCATTAATCATTTTTGTAAGTCAAGGGTTCCTTCTTAATATGACTCATTTATGTATATTATAAATTTAATACTTCATCTATCTGGTGGTCAGCTGTCTTGCCACCTTACACATAAGGAACACAATCAAGAAGGAGGAATTTGAAAAAATACTTCTGAGTAGCCAAAAGATGGGTTGCAAAGTCTGCGGATGCACTAACAGCTCATGAATTCATTGCTTATCTGAGAAATCCTGAAGTCTTCACTCAGAAACTGATTAGTCTTACACACAGATCTAGCAAACTTGGCTATGCTGTTTCTAAGATCCCAGAAGATTAAAAGTGGCAAGGTATGGGGGTTGATCTAGGCAGGTGTTTTGACAATGATGAGCAAAAACTCACAGAGTGATATTCGAGAGGAGAATAAAAAAAAAACCAAACAAACTCAACCCAATAAAAAGCAGACAAAGAATTGGAAAATGAAAACACTTGAGAGATAGTCACTGGAGGGGCTAAGAGACCTGTATATCTCAATAGGTCTGGATAGAGTCCCTGTATTACAGTATACTAGTGTTGGACACTAGACTTACATACAGAGCTGACCAGAGTTGAGGTATCAAAGGGCCTGCAGGCACTCCTAGTGCTGCCAAGACCAGATTAAAATGTAATTGGGAAATATTTAACAAAATCAATAAAAATACAATAAAACATAGATAACATCACATTTTAAAACTAAGTCATTATATGTGGCTGTAGAGGTCCTTAGGCATGGATTAATGGCCCTGGTTTCTATTTATTTGAAACCTCTGGCCTAGAACTTGCTCCAGAGACTTGCTCATAGTCAGTACTTGTATCCTGTCTAGGGTCACAGAATCAGAATGTGTTAGAGATGGGGCTTGAACTCAGGCCTTCTTGGACTCAAAGTACAGCTCTCAATTCATGATGCCATGCTACCTCTATCACATGATGCAGGTTCAAAAATGATTTTGTAGTCACTAAGGAGGGAGTACATTATATTTCATATGGTCTATTTAAGAAGGCAGGAATGGGAGGATTACATTTTAGAAGGATTTCCATCCAGAATGGTCAAAGATAAAAAAAAAGAGTATTTAAAGGGTAAACACTCAACCCAGAAGGATCATAAATTTAGTGCTAGAAAGGACTTTTGTTGTTGTTCAGTTGTTTTTCAGTCATGTATGACTCTTTGTGAACCCATTTGGGATTTTCTTGGGAAAGATGCTGGAGTTGTTTGCTCTTTCCTCCTCCAGCTCATTTTCCAGATGAGGAAACTGAGGCAAACAGAGTTAAGTGACTTGCCTAGGATCACACAGCTAATAAATGTTTGAGGATAAATTTGAACTCAGGTCTTCTTGACTCTATGCCTGGCACTCTATCCATTGTGCCACCTAGCTGCCCCAGAGAGGGCTTTTGAGGTCATTAAATCCAACCTCATTATTTTACAGATGAGGAAACCAAGTCCTAGAAAGGTTTAGTGACTTTCCCAAGGCCACAGAAATATGAAGTATTAAGTAGCAGAGCCAAAATGTGTATCCTCTGCTGGAGCATTCAAGGTAAATGAAGTTTTATTTTATTTCTAGTTTTCTTATGCTAGACTTCAACTATACACTCATTATAATTATTAATGTAAGAAAACAAATCAACTATGAGATCTTGAAATTTAATGTTTATTAACTTTACTTTTAATACTTTAAAAATTCTTTGTTTCTTGAGTTGAAAAAAGAGTCAGAATTGCAAATGACCCAAAGGGAACTGGAGAAAAGTATGGTGGGCTTAAGTTAGGTGAGGCATATTACCAACAATGACTTTTTAGTAAAAAGTATTATGAAAAATATCATCAGGGAAATGAATATTTGGGAAAGGATGTGGGCTGAGGATGTTGTTTGACTGACAAACAAAGTTCATGAAAGAAAGAGACCTAGCTTCCCAGCGTTTTGGATGGATTGTCTATGGAGGATTGATAGGAAATATATGGACAGGAATTACGAAGCAAGACAAGGCATGACTGGATTGCCATGGGCACCATTGCAGGGAATACCTAAATTGATGATACCATGGATCACTGAACTATCAAAGTCAAAAATCTTTAGTAAAAATGACACTGCCTGGAGGAAGCATGGGGTAGAAGATAGCGTGTTAGACCCAGGAGTCAGAAAGACATAGGTTCAAAGCCCACCTTTGACATACTAGCTGTGTGGCTCTAATTAAGTCCCTTATCCATAAAAGGAGAAGGATAATTCCTCTAGAACATACCTCATGGGGTTTCTGTGAAAGTCAAATAAAAATGTAAAGTATTTTATCAACCTCAAAGTACCATGTGAAATATTGACAATTATTATAAATAGGGTTGGTCCTATAGTTTCACAGAAGAATAGTAACACACAAAACAAGTCACTTTTAACAAAGAGTAGAAAGAACTCCTGAGCCAAATAGAGAACCAGTTGTGTTGTTTTTGCCCCCCTTATTTTAAGATATTAAAGGAGCTATAGTCCCTATGTGTCTGTAGGACTGGTTGTTGAGAAAACTTAAGTTGGAGAATAGAGAGTCTCTCTGTTATCCAAAGAACTTTTTATTGCAAACAAATGTACATTTATAGAGGGCTTAAAGAATGTTACAATAGAAATCAAAACATGTTCTAATTAGTCAGAGAAGAAAAAATGTATATGCTACCTTCACTATTTCCCACTGAATTAAATCCTAGCCTGTGTTCAGTGTGATTATAGTGTGGGTGGGTGGACTGAGCATGCATACATATTCATTCTTTCATTCTAAAATCAATGTTCAGACTTTTATGAACCACAAGCTATCATTTCTTCAAGGGCACGGGGGCACCCGGCTTGACTGTAATTCACTGGTCCAAGGCATTGTTTGTCATCTCTTCGTTTTTCTACATCATTTCCAGGCTGCACAATCAGCTCTCTTTCCCTTTACCATTTCATTAGGAAAATTCACAAAGCAGCATTTTCCTATTGATATTCAGAAAAGGTTAATTTTTTTTTCTTTAAAGAGAAAAGCAAACACCCAGCCCCCTTTATTTATATGACATTTCTTTAATGTTTCATGTGGCAGCAGGTGTGTGGGAAGGCATAGCAGAGCAAATTTTCCACTGGGCTTTAGAAGATGAATAAACACTGACCTTCTGAGACACTGCTGTGCAAGACGCTGTAGTTGGCAGAGAATCCTTCTTTCGCTATTGCGCTGTCAGTATAAAAAGCCAGCGACAGAATGCCGGTTGAGGAACGGATGCGGCCTGGTGTTTTCTGTCCACAGTAACGCCCGATATGAGGACCAACTAGAAAGAAAGAAAGGGAAAAAAATAAAACACAAAACAAAGCAGAGAATGTCAAAATATCTTTTCTCTTGCAGCAGATGAGAGAACAACACTTTGCAAAGATGAGTCCCAGCAGAACACAGAAGTGTTTTTCTAACCCAAATCATGCCTTCCCTAGTTAATTGGTTTGCAGTAAACATATTGGGCCAGGTTCGCAGGGAGGATTTAAAAGTGTGCTCTGAGGAGCAATGATGGGCAAAACCGCCTTCCCCAGTGAACAAGATTATTTTCGGAAGGAGAAATGAACGGCTTGGTTCAATTGCAAAGAATGAGACTTGGGCAGCCAAGTTGTACCTCAGCATTCATCTCAGGGCCCAAGCGGTATGCACAACTTGCCCCTGGAAGCATCAGGGAGATGCCTCAAGCTGTGCACAATCATCAAAACCTCCTCCAATCCCATCCAATGATTCCCTCTATCCTAACAAAGGAAAATGGAGAAAGCGTCGATATCTTCAGACCCCCTAATGGCTTCAAGGGGTTTGTTCAAGGTGTGGAAAACCTCAGCTTCTCTCCTTGCCCTATTCCTTCAGCAATCTTTTGTTCGGGAAAGCCTCACATGTACTTTGTAATGCGCCATTTACTCCTCAGTGGTTCATCTGGAGACAAGTTAATATTTGCAACTCTTTAACAACATATTTGGAGACTAAGAGACATCAGTAATGGAATCCAAATGACAACTGGATATTCATATTGAAAGGAATATTACTTTCTGTGGGATTCCTGCCTCAGTTCCCTTAGAGAACATCACCTAAAACTGCCTAGCTTATATGTATGTTTTAGGCAAATCAAATGATCAAGAAATAATGGCAAACATGAATTTCACTGTGTAGCCTAGGGCTGTGGGAAATGATGGGAGGTGGGCAAGAAACTATGTACAAACTTAAACCAGTGGTTAGGAGAGAGTCAAGTTGTTATTTAGTTTAAGTCAGCAATACCTTTATCCTGAAGTGCTTTTTGCCAATTTTGGCAAATGGTCATTTTGACAATGCTGAAGTACTCTGGGCTTGAAAAGCGAATAATTTCTTTGGGTAGGCCAGTAGCAGTACTAAAAATGACTTTCCTGTTTTCATGTCAGGAATTCTTAACCTAGGGTCCATAAACCATGAAGAAGTCCATGGGCTGATGTTAGGGTAATTTTCTCATGAGAGTTCTAGCTTCTCTCAGCAGAAGCTGAGGGTCACAACCTGTTGTGTGGCAGAAACAAGGAAGTCTCACAAGACCTCTCCTTTGCTGACACGCAGCTCCCACAGTTGGCTCGGCTCTCCTCTCATTGGGAGAAAAGTCCTACTCATACCCCTGACACGAGGGCTGCAGGTGTCCAGCAGACTTGGTGATTGGCTATCACGTGGAGATCATGCTTTGATCAGGTGTTACTAGGGATATAAAAGAAAGCTACTAGCACTTAATAAACGGAGCTTCTGCCATCTTGCTGTCTCCCGCCTCATCAATGCGCTTCCGGGTTAAGAGTATTGAGCTGGTCTCATGCTCACCACTGCAGCAGCTGAGTCAGACTGATTTCAGGGGGTCCATAATGTGGAAGTAATATCTTAATTTCAATACGTTTAGTTTTCTTTATAAACCTATATATTTATTTTATGTATTTAAAAACATTCTTCTGAGAAGTGAGTCATAGGCTTTACCAGACTTGCAAAGGGGGTTCCATGACACAAAAATAGGTTAAGAACCCCTGCTATAGGTTTCTGTTGTACGTCTAAAGGAAGCCCATCCATCAGTTGATTTTGGCTTACATGGACAATCTTGCATCACTTTTTTTTTTAATCTGGAAAATACACAGTTCCCTGTTATATAATCCAGGGATGTTGCCTTGTCTATGGTCACCTAGACTTTTCTATAAACTGGGTAGGCAAGTAGCTAAAAGATATTAGTTGGATGGAGCTCAGGGTACAAATGATGATAAAGTCCCTACCAACCATTCCTTATTGGCTGCTTCCATGGAGTTTGTACATGAGTAGGATTACCACTTCAGCATTTTTTCAACCATTTCACTCTGTTTTTCTGCTATTGCAGAACATATTAGCAGAACTTTACTACTTAAACTGGGTCTACTCAGGCATATCAGTTAGAAAAACAAAATGAAATAAAACTGGGCTGAAATCAATCAAATAATCCATTGTATATATGGAATGTGTATGTTTAAAGCAACCAGTAGAGCTAAGTGATGGTTATGACCAAATTAAACTCTTTCCTTTCCACCCTCCTATCCATTTTATAATTACAACCTAATCAAAAGGAAGGCAAAATAAAATTTAAAATTTAAAATAATTTGCTTGGACAACTCAAAGGCATTATGCTGCAAACATTGGAAGGAAGTGTTACCCTATTTTATACATTTAAAAATGTTATTCCAAGAAGGGGTCCATAGGTTTCACCAGACTGCCAAAGGGGTCTTTAACACATTGAAATGGTAAAAATTTCTTTTATAAAACATGAAACAAACACTACTTCAGTCCTCCCCTCCTTCCCCTTTTTCTGTTGTGCATCTATTAAGATTTTTTTTTTCATTTCAGTTGAATTCAACAAACATTAGTTAAATATCTACAAGGTACTATGCTAGGCTGGGGATTTAAAAAAGTAAACAATAAGATAAAACAAAACATTGCTTGTCCTCAGGAAGCTTACTAACTCTAGACCTTTTCTTGGAAAAGATGCTGGAGTTGTTTGCCATTTCCTTCTCCAGCTCATTTTCCAGATGAGGAAACTGAGGCAAACAGGATTAAGTGATTTGCCAAGGGTTGAAATCAGATCTTCCTGACTCCACACCTGGTGCCCTATGCTGTGACTTCATCTGTGTGGGAGTCAGCACCTAAAAGTAGGCAACTAAGAGCTGCCTGGGGGTACTAAGCAATCAATTGGCTTGTCCATGATCACACAGCTAATGAAGGGCAATTTTTTGAACCCAAGATTTCTTGATGCTAAGACTGGTCCTCTCTCCACTACACTAGTCTGACACTTGTTCCTTTATCAGACATCTATAAATGTGGCTTGCTCAGGCCATAAACTAGATCGTTTCCAGGAAAAGTGTCCAAATAACTATTAATCCTTCTCTTGTCTAATTTATGAAATGGATGGCTTTCTCATTTTTCCTTTATCTTTCACATACTCTTATCCTGGCTTCATTATTCCCTCCTACCATTAAATATATTATTTCTCTATGTGGGGAAATATCTGTGGATGGTTCTGCTCCTTTGGACAATGGCCTCTGCTCGCTATAATCACTGGTTTTACCAAGAATTACGAGTGACAAAGGGAAGCTGTGGCCTTTTTATTAGGGCAATTTAGTCCCATCCCTTCCTCCTTCCCCCACCCCCACTATTACCCAGTTCCTTAGGGGGAAAGAAACCTTTGAAATAGCAAACAGAAGAGAACTTTGTTTACTACAGACTCATAATTTAGGGAGTCTCCATGACTCACTGGCTTATAATTTTTAAGACATGCTTGGTAATTCTCCACTCTATCTTTTAGAATATTGCCCCCGGATAGCATTGTGCCACTCTCTTTAGTAGCCCTCAAGATAGCGGAGCAAAAAAGGCTTTTTTGAGTGTACTACAAAGAAGTATTGAATTTTCCTGTACAACAGTGAGACCTTCGCCTAGCAAAGTAATGCAATATTGATCTGTGTGTGGCGGGAGTGGGGAGAGGGAGGAGGACTTTTAGTCTTCTTGTGTATGTGACCAGTTGTATATTCAGATGCTCAGAGCTGTTGGATTTTCTTTTTTGCTCACCTCAACTTTTGAGATAGCAACAAATTAGCAAAGTGTAGAATGATGTCATAAGTAATACATTTTTTCTGGTTGTGATATTCTAAAAACAGTGGAGTTGCGATTAAAGGAAAAAGAAATTGTGCTTCCAACTTTGTGATTACAAGGATACAAGAATAATGCAATTGTACCGAGAAAATTGTGCATGGCATACTGGTAATTGGAGGGAAGTCATTAGATTAAAATGGCAGTATCTTATCAGTAAGAAAGAGTATATCTCTCTGACTTCCTAATGATACCTACTATTGATTACTATGCTTATTCATACCATTCTCTGTTTCTTCTTCATTTCCCCATTTATTATAATTCTGCCTTAATTTTCTTATACTGTGTAAGACTTTATTCATCTTTTCAAAAATGATAATCAACTTTAATAAAGTACTTTGGATAAAGAAATACATATCTTTTAAAATTACAATATATGCTATGTGTAACTCTTCATGAGTTAACTAACATGCATTTTATTAGAGAATTTCTGAAGTACAAAGAATATTTCAGGGAGTACCTAAAATGATTTCCACACCTCCTCCCCTCCCAGAAGGTCCAGGATTATAGCTATCCTAGTAGTTTCAGGAGCTTAGATTTAATACCAAACTATATATACATAGATTCTATTCAGAGACCACATTACCAGAATCCATTATTAAAACATGTTTGTAATCACTAGAAAGTAGATAACAGCCAAAGATTTAAAACAACAATAATAATGCAGCAACAAAAAACAACATACATACAATACAAATTGATGGTTAACTTTATCTCTACTTATGTCAACAACTGAAACTAAGCATTAATTTTTGGTTCCATAATTTGGTGCAAATGCTTGTGGTATTGACCAGGGTAGCAATAACCCATGGCTCTCAAACCATGTGTAAACTTCCTTAAATTACTTCTGAGCTTCTACTTGAGAATCTATAGCACTTGGGAAAAGTGGTAGATGAAGATGAAGAATTCATCATGTGCATGCTTCATATTCTAAGTTTTTAAGTAAACTGCTTTTCTTCAAAGCCAATGTAAATCAATGGGTCGCTTTCAATTACTTGGCCATTTAATTCAATGTTTATGATAAAATGCATCACAAAATCGTTCAATAGCTAAAAGCCTTCAGTGCCTTCTGCTTGTTGTTTTTGGAAAGGATTTCAAAGATTCATCACCATTTTACTGGCAGAGGAATTGTATGCTTTGAAATGCTATGACAAAAATGTCTCTAGTGCCATCGAAAAGCCCAGGAGAATCTAGTCTCTCTTTTGGGCCAAAAATTAGCGAGACGTTTTGCTGGAGCAGGCTAGACAAGGTCAGCTAAATATTAACAAATACATAAACACATTTATCATATTCCACCAGCCAGCGTACTCTGGGAATAAGTCAGACTTGCCAGACTTTTAAAGCATGGGTGAATAGCATGGCTGATAAGTTGTATGGTTAATTGTTCCTCATTTCGGCTCAGTGATTTTCTAGAACCAGAAAATTACTACTTTGAAAAACCCTTGACACTAATAACAATGTACTCCATTCTGAAAGTGTTCTAAATATGTTGGTTGATTGGACCTTCTTTTCACATGTCAGTTTAAATGAAAGTTCTAGAGGGGAAGGTTGAAAATTTGGGTTGTGGGTAAATAAACCCACTATTAAATGTTCCAGCTATTGTTATAATGTTGTTATCACATTGTTATAAGACTGTTTTCCTAACTGATGGATTGAATGCTGGGTAGTCAGCCCACTGTTTTGGCAATCTCATTACTTAATGAATGAGTTTCAGTAAGATCATCATAACCCTATTTGTATGATAAAAACCCTAAGGAGGGATTTAATGTTAACTTACCCATTTCATCTAATGACAATATAAGCTTTCACTAAATCTAATTTTCTCCCTAATTGTTTATACATTAAGAAACTTATCAAAGTTGAACAGTAACCAACACAAATGATATTAATAGCAAGAAAAGGAACATGCAAACTCTGTCATAATTTTGTCCATTATTCACTTACAAAGTGAATTGAAATAATCCTTTATTTAGCTGTAGTTGCTACCTGTAAGTATGGTAAAAAGGCATCAGAAACAAGAAGCTTAGATTATATGATTTCTAAGATTCCTACCAGCTGCAAAAAAAAAAATCACAGTATTCTTGGAAATAGTTGGTCGAACATGGCCTATTCTCTGATTCTTAAGAACCGCCAAGTCACCCCATTTGGATTCATGACCTGTACTTTCTCCAGGGAAATATGGATGTTAAGCCAGACTAAACACACCACTGTCGAAGCAGCTGAAACAAATTATTTGATATAATCTTCCTTGGCCAGAATTGGGGGGGGGTGCGGTTTAGCCATTTATCTTCAAATTCTCAAAGATTAGAATGGAAAATGTTAATTTGGAAGATAAAGAAAATCATTGTATTTCATATGTGGGTATCTGGTGACTCTTTCAGAAGAAGGTCAGGAGAGCTTAGCCCCGACAAGCAACAGTTTCCCGATGCCTGAAGTTTGGAGCTCCTAAGGTAAAGGGGATGCCCCAAATCAGAGGTTCTTATCCTTTCTTTAAACTTGAAAATTTTGAAATTTTCTACCGCATTAAGTCTGGGAGACAATATCACCTTTAAAAAGATCATGTGTGGTTGGTTGGTCATTTGACAGTGGGTGTAGGAGTGGGTGGGTGGGGTTGGGGGGATGGTTTTATGAGCTCAAGAACTCTAGGTCCTTGTTTCAATTTTGCCAGTAACGTGTTTTGTGACCTCAAACAAAGCATCTAATCTCACTAGGCATCTCTTTTATTCATTCAATGAGGGGGTTGGCTCAGATCGGTCCCAAGCTTCCTTCACACAGCCTAAATCTGTTATTCTATAATGGATCTCTTTTTTAAGATAACTCCAAAATACCAAATGACAGCTTGTATCTTGTGACATTTGAAAAAGGAATCTTTGGGAAGTCAATGATAAAAAGAAAGGTCCCGTATTACACCTAAATATTTGTAGTAGCAATTTTTGTAATAGTCAAGAAATGGGAACAAAGTAGATGCTTACAGACTGAGGAATGGCTAAATGAGTTGTGGCACATGAAGGTAATGGAATCTTATTCTGCTATGAGGAAGGATGAATTCAGAGAAGCATGGGAAGACAAACCGACTGATGCAGAATGAATTAAACAGAATCGGGATAAAATGATATATGGCAGCAGTCACCAAGCTATAGCCCGAGGGATAAATAAATGCAGCTGCCTCTTATTTGTACAGCCCAAGCTAAGAATGGTTTTTCACATTTAAAATACAATAAAACTTTATTTTAAAATGTAAAAACCATTCTTACCTCAGGCTGTCCAAAAGACCATAGAAGCTGTACAAAAAAAAGTCAGCAGACTTTAGTTGGTTGACCCTTGATATATAATAATAAAGTAAATGGGGAAACAAAAGCCAGCAACAACAACACAATTGAAACAGAATACTGCAAAATTATAATAACCAAGCTTGGCTCCAAAGAAGAGAAATGAGTAGGCATGCCCTTCTGTTTCTTTGCAGAGGCAAGTGATTATGGGTGAGGAACACTAAATACAATGTCACTTATATAAGTCAGAACATAATGACTTTTTCCATATGTTAGTAAGTTTTGCTGACCTTTTTTCTCCCTCATTTTTATTCTATGTTATAAGGGGTTGCCCTTTGGAAGAGAAAGAAGAAAGTATTGCATTAGGAAGTATAGGAAATAGAAAAAAAGGATTAAATATATTTCAAAAATGAAAAAAAAAATTTGAAAGAAAAAATAATCTATTACCCTCTGCCCAGGCCCTCCCTTCTCTGGGATGCTGTTTATTCTTGTTCTTACCATCAGGGAATCCATCCCAAATTTCTAGTCGGTCATATCGACAGAACATCCCCCCTGGAGGATTAGTGTCAGGCTCAAGGTCAAAGCTTTCAAATTCCAAGATAATCTCTGACATCTTTGGTGCAAAGATAATGTAAGTGCATTCAAGGCTGTTGGGATACTTTTCAGGGAATCCAGGGGACTTTATCACTCCAGTAGATGAAGTATAGTTTCGGGAACATTCAGGACCTATACAGGCAAAAACAAAACAAATGAAGAGAAAGAAATGAAGTCCTAATAAGACAATAATTTATGAAAGAACCTACTATACTAGGATTCACTGTTTTAATCACTGATTCACTCAGCCCTTTCCTATTATTGATAGGTATGAAAATCATTGTGTTCAGCCCAGTTTTCCATTTGTGTGGATAAATTTGAAAACTTCCTATGCCTTGGGAGAAAAAAAAATGACAACTATAAAATCATGTGGGAACAATGAATGAGTAAGCTGCAGAAATCTCGACAGAGCCCTAGAGAAATAATTATAGCCCCTTCAAGCTTAAATCTTTAAATCTTAAGGTTGACAGCCATTTATTGGTGAAATAGAACATTTATAAAAGTGGGTGAGTGAATTCAGTAGAGGGAGTGCTGGTTTCAGATTCCTACACTGGTGACTGAGTAACTCTGCCAGATGTGACCTATGCCTCTTTGACAAACTAAATGTGAAAGGTAATTCGTACATGTACCCAGGGTGAGTGACTCATTCTGAGTGGTGTTGACACAGGTGTGCCAGTAAAGTGTGGCTGTTAGTGAAGGCATGATAAACTGTGATTACAGGCAATGTTGCTGAAGTCACCTAATATCAATGTTGACATACTAACCTTCCCGAAAGTATCAGTTCTAGTATATTCTGCTGTTCCAAAAAATGGTTGTTTATGGTGAGAAAGTTGGTGATGAGGGAAAAAAATACCTACAACATTTAGTTGGGCCTGACTGCTCAAACCATTTCAACTTTACAAGTTGTCATGGTTTAATATTTCAAGCATTGGTCAAGGACAGTACCAGAAAGCTAGTATTATCGTTGTGTGGTGACAATGGTAATGATTAACATAATAATGATGATCACAGGTTCCTTCTCTTAAGGAAAAGACTTTGGAGGTCAAATAGTCAATCCCTTCATTTTACAGAAGAGGAAACTGAGGGTTAAGGTAGGTTAAGTGATTTGTCTTAGGTCATAAGGTCAGTGATAGAGTTAGGATTTGAACTGAGGTCCTTAGTCCAAATCCAAGGGCTCTTTTCACCGCAACACATGGCCCTACCTAGGGTGCTTCCACCATCTGATTAATTCATTCGTGCTCTATCCACAAAGAGGAGAGAGCTACCTGAATACTTGAAAAATGTACCTATCTAAATGGCCATGTGAGGATGCATGCTTTTCCATGTGTTTTTCCTCCATCACACACTTCAAAGGATTCATTTTAAGAATCCCTATGTGCATATGACATGCTAGGACTGTCTTAATATTATAAAACAAATTTTGTGGTGCTGAGCTCCATAATTCACCCTACATGCATGTGAAATGCCAGGATCATTTTAATATTATGAGAACAAATTTTTGGGGAGCTCAGCTTCATATTTCATTTTTTGGGACAGAGAGATGTAGAAGTTTATCCATTAATATCTCCCTGAGCAAGTTCTAGAGATAACACTTAAAAAAAGTAGTTTGAGGAAAATATTCTTGACTAGATAGTCTTCAAAACAAATTGCCAAGAAATCAAAAGGTAACTTATTAGTCATCAGGACAAGTTAATTTTATTTCCATTTAATTCTATTAAACAAAAGTTCATAAAGCTCCTACTGTATATAAGACACCATATGATGTAAACCCTGTTTTCAAGATAAAGAACGATAGGTACGCAGATTACTGGGATACAAGAGAGAGTGAAATTGGTACAAAGAAGAGATTCAGGTAAACGCACAAAAAGTAGGGCAGCTAGGTGGCATAGTGGCTAGAGTGCTGGGCCTGCAGTCAGGAAGACTCATTTTCCTGAGTTCAAATCTGGCCTCAGACACTTACAGGCTGTGTGACCCTGGACAATTAATTAATTAATTAATTACGTGAGCCTGGGCCACATAATTCTGCTTGCCTTAATTTCCTCATCCGTAAAATGAACTGGAGAAGGAAGTGGCAAACTACTCTAGTATCTTTGCCAAGAAAACCCCAAATGGGGTCACGAAGAGTAGACATGATTGAACAACAACAAATGCACAAAAAACTTGAGTAGAGAAAGTTCACTTTCAGTTGTTGGGGAGAATTTAGTGAGGAGGCCACTAAGCTGAGCCTGGAAAGAAGGGAGAAACCTCATCAGCTGGAGATAAGGAATGGGGAGGGATCTCTCTGAAGCATGAGAGATAATGGAAGTAAACTTAGAGGAAAGAGTGACAATAGGGGACAGAGAATAGCCCCATTTGGCTGTGAACTAGAGTACTTTGTTGTTCAGTTGTTTCAGTCATGTAGACTCTTTGTGACACAATTTGTGTACACAATTGGTTAAACTGAATTTAATTGGAGAGTTTGAGATGGGGTTGTTTTTATCCCTGTGTATTGCATTATTTTGGCTAAACTTCAGCACAGATAACATTTGGAAGTCCTTTTGAAAGGGCTGATTTCCTTCCTTCCTTCCTTCCTTCCTTCCTTCCTTCCTTCCTTCCTTC